AAATTATTTCCCTTATTCTCTTTTTGTTTGAATTTGTTACATAGTGACCCGCGGAATATATATCTGATAGTTGATTTTCTGATTTTGTTTATGTGTTTATGACCCTCGGATAAAAATCTGGGGGGTAAGGTCATCTTGTTTTGGTCACCCATTAACAAAACTTTTTTTTTTAAATTAAAAAGTAAATTTAGGGGGGGGGGGGGTTCTCCAAAATAAATACACACACACAAATTTAGGGGGGTTCGACCCCCCTCCCCCCCCCCCCCCGATGCCGCAAAATGTTTGTTGCCCATATACAAAGAGCAAAATTTGGGAGGATGGTCACCGTAAGAAATGTTCGGCGCTATTGTTTTTTTTAACCATGACAGGCCAACAGCGAACATAGCGTGTATAGAAGCAGAAACAATTTGAACTAGAAATTTAATTCGTCATGGGGACGAATTAGGTGGTCTGTCTTCACTTCTTATGATAGATTTGAGAATGGGAGAAATTATATAGACATATAAACAATGATGATCATGATGATATTGCTCGCGAAAGACGGGAATGTAGAATCCAGTTTTGAGAAAAAGTCATGTCCCATAGAGAATACACGTAAAATGTGAAAAATTGACATGCCTCCTTTAATCGCAAAAATACGCCATGATGCCTTTGTCAAAATGAAAAATCGTGATTACTTTACTCGTAGAGAATTGTCTCAGCTAGAACATATCCGAATTCGGAGGAATATCGATCAATTTTTACAGAGATACAATCAATGTTCTAAAAATATGCTGACGTCATAATAAGCAAATAGAAATTTTGAGTTCAGAGGCCATTATGATGACGTCATGAGTTCATTGATGGTCAAATGAGACATGATATCATATCTACAATTCATACTTCATCCAAATATGAAAATAAAATTAGGAGTCAACAGGCATCTTAAAGAGCTACAATGGATTTTGTATAGGCATGTTTTTGCCCATATATGCTATGTATTACAAGAGTTCACACGCAAGTACATGTATCTTAAACGGACGCTCATTCCGTTATTAATGTTCACAAACAGGTGAACAAGGTATCAAAATGCTTGGAAAAATGTGCCAAATTCGGCGATTCTATGTTGCAAAATGCCATGACGCGCGAAAACGCGCGCGTTTTTTTTTTTGCGAAATGCTTAAAATGACCTGATTCGTACTCTCGTTTAATAGTTGAGTGATTTTGAGCATTTTTTAATTTTGACGCACGCGTACGCGCGTGTCATGACCTTTATTTGACCTTTGATGACATGACCTGTTGACCCTTGACCTGAAGTATATGTGATATAAATATGAATGACCTTTGATGACGCATAATGAAGATATGATTGATAATGTGATTTCACAAAATGGCGCCTAGATGACGTCACGATAATTTGATGACCTTGAAAATGTTCCTGTCACGTCTCATGACAATGACCTATGACTGTGCCAAAATTGAAAGAAATTAACACAACCGATCGTGAGTTGTCCTAGGAACACAAAAGGGGAGAAATAAAAATAAAGAATAAATAAATAAATAAATAAAGAAAGAAATAAAGAAGAAAGAAAATTCTGACGAAATCAATAGGTGATCTGTTGACAACAGACCACCTAAAAAGTAGATCACAGTTAAAGTTTGAGCAAAAACAAAAAAAAACTTTGAATTTTTGAAGGTGCAATCTATCAAACACAAATTGTTAACTCTGTGTCGTAACTTGCGTAAGTTTAATAATGTCGCGCCCGGTAAAAATTGGTCCAGTGAAAATGCAAGGCGCCCGGAAGTGTGCCGGTGTGACCGCGCCGTTTGTCCTACCAGTTTCGTTTGTCCGTCGGACATACTATGCGGGTTTTCCGCTCGCACGGATCGTCGGTAAGCTTACGGGCTCCGTCCAATGAACAGGGATACCACCGTGCACCTCATGGCTCCCGGGTACAAAGTTATGATATTGAAGAAAATTATATTAAGACAAGAAAATGAAAAGGTTAATTGTATTTTCACCCACGGAACAAAAGCACATAGATACGCTCTCGTATTGATCTATTCCATAACATTTGACTAAACGACGTTTTAGAGTTAAGTGATTACCAGGCGCTTCTTAATGGGTTGCTACTTGCTAGGCTCTAACATGTAGTATCACTTGTAAATATACAATATCATTTGAATTATATAATATCGTTTGAATTCTATAAAAAAAAAAAATCATTAACAATATTTCACTTTTCTCTGCTTATCTGCCCCCCCCCCCCCTCTCTCTCTCTCTATCTATCCTCTCTCTTTCTCTCTCTCTCTCTCTCTCTCCACCTCTCTCTCTCTCATCGTCATTAGAACTACTTTAAGAGTACTCCAATGGACACTTACTGCAAAACACTCCTAAACCATTCACTCCAAACCCAAAATGACAAACGACACTATACCTTGATTTATTTGGCACTTTTAATATAAATCTCTCTTATCTATGATAGTTATGGTATCAAATGGTATATTGTACATGATGGAAATATCCTAATAAAACCCACAAGAATTGTTGAATTAACAAGTCATTTCTCCTGTTATGTGTGTAAAAATCACTACAAAACACCTGATTTGTTACCTCTATTGTCTTTTTTCATATCCAATTTTTAACCACTTAGCAATCACACGCCGTAATTACTATTTCTATATTGGTCGTCTTTCTGCATAAAAACTTGCACACACGCATTTTTCATTATAATTATATACTACCTCCGGCTACATAAGGGTTCTAAGTCAAGTTCTTTCTTGTGGGTGATGGAATAGAGAGAATGAAAAAAACAGATGCCTGCATTAAACATATTTACGTTTGGTTTATAAGTCTGATGGGTGTTATTATTCAATTCGTTTCACTAGTAGAAACCTAGTGGAAAGGTTGAGAGAATTTGTCTCCTGTGTGAAATATTGCGTCCCAAATTATAACACATTTCGTAGAATTGAAGCTAAAGATAAAAATATTATTAGTGGTCATTATCCACAGTTCATTTCATTTTTTCACATGATTAGAATTAAAATGTACTTTCCACCCCATTTTTTCATTGTCTATGTATTGATATGATGATGGTTTCAATAGGGCATAGGTTAACCCTTTTTTTCTGGGGGGGGGGGGATATGTGTCCATTCAATTGTCATTAAAGCCCCACTTCACTACGTATAGCTACTTGCACCCTCTATATAGCAAACAATGCCTAAGCGGTGACCGTTGGTCCCCCATGATCCCCTTTTTCTTATGTTAATTGAGAGCTGATTTGATGAGATAACCACCTGTAGGTGACATTGCAGGGAGGTCTAATCCCTCCTGGCCAAACTAGTGCAGACAGGCTTTAAAACATTTGAAGGCATAATAGCACTCAATCATGGATTTGGATTAATTCTACTACATTTCTTTCACTTGGATAATAAATAAGCCAGTTGTGATATCAACACAAAATATCTGCCTCAGTCTATGAACCTAATACTGATAACATATAATTTCAATAGGTGATGGGTGAGGCCAATTGAAATCATTTTAAGGTTGATTCTTTGACAGCCCTTGCCATTTATTCCTATTCTACAACATTTTCCATCCGACACTTGATATAACGCTTTGTTATGTTCATTGTAAAATGATGCACATTGAATTAAATAAAATAGAACTGGACGTTAAATAAAAGATACCCTTGGCAAGAATTGAAGAGGACAGAAAAATATTCCACGAGAACGTCTGTACCTGGACTAAAATCACTCGTAATAAAACTCAAAATCAAATACATGGCGTATGTACAGAGATCTGTATGACACTTATAATGATAATATGTTCACAACTTATCAGTAACATAATAACGAAATGAAAAGACATCTGATCACTAAAACTATACACTCTGCAAGGGCAAACCTTGAGAACAGAAAATTGTTTAAATGGCAGATATGAATAAATAGACGATAAAACTTTGTTGTTGGTACATCATGCACACAAGTGCATCTTTCAATATGTTGACAAAACTGACAACTTGAACAGTCCAAAATCTTCATAAAAGTTGAACAAAACATTACCATTTTGTGAAAGTGCAGAAAATAATATAATAGATTTTACTTTGATAAAATCTGCCCAAAAGGATAGGATTCAAAAGACAACATGAATTTGAATTGCTTATCTACTGAAACCTATTGAACAGAACTTCAACTATTGATAGGAATAATTCATCTTGGGGGAAGTTTCACTGAACCGTATCAATTCAGCTCTCTGAAAACTGGTAATGATAGAAATTATTAACATATTTTGCAAATTGCCACAGAATCTAGAGTTAGATACAGTATGCTTCGTTCAAACTGCATTTGTAATGACCACAATTATGACAGCACATAGAGTACTGCTGTTTTGCTCATGAGCTCACTGTGACAATCACCAAGGCAGAGAGCAAATATTTACCATTTCTTTCTGACCCTTCCTTTTGACAATACCATACATAAAAATACCCAGGTTCAGTCGAAAACGAAGCTCCTAGCTTCATTAATGCTTACCCTACAATATATATTTACAAGTGTATGTACAAGGTATGAAAACAGCAGACAGATCTTCTGCGAGTCTCTCTCGCTCGCATGTAGAAATATGAATATCGTGATCGTATTTGGAGTAACAACCAACGCAAAGAGTTGTATAAAAAGTTGAGCCGTAAAATATGGAAAAGATTCACTAGAAATTTTTGCTTGTTCTTCCTGAGTTTGTATAGTAGTAGATATGCACTGCAAAAAACACTGAATTCTCCTTAGAAAAATTCAGCCGGGAAAAGTCACACCACTGCTATCACCCGACACAATTTGCCAAAATAGAACTACAAAAGGCAATTGTATGGAAATATATTATGCTACATGTATCATACGTGATCAATATGAAAAAAAAACAGATGGTATTAGATATACCACGATTACTCTGTTACAACACAGACAGGATGTATCATCAATTATTTATCATTACTCTACCCCATTGCCTGTGCCTTTGTATTACTTGCCTCCAAGACTATTGATGCGATTTATTATCGCAAATTCTTTAATTACATTTCAACGTTTCTTCCTGCATGGTACAGCGTAGATGATAATATGAGAGCAATACACTCTTCAAACTATGACTCTGTGTGTAGAAGTGTTCTCCCTGTACATACGGGCATAAACCCACATTCTCCCTGCATCATTACAATGCTTGTGACTGTTGATATCTAGGGTTTCTGAAACATCCATATGTAGCTCATAGATATACAGTCAAACCTGCTTTGGTGACCACCTGTCTACAAAGACCACATTTTTTGTTCCCCTTAAAAATGGTCTCTCATTGGAACATGTCATAAAGGAATTTGTACTTAAAGACCATCTGCCAATAAAGGCCACTTTCCTTGTCTCCCTTGGGTGGTCGTTAAAGACAGGTTTCACTGTATCATCTACATGTAGATTTTCGTCTGTTAATAGCCAGGACAGAAGGGTGTTATCGCATATCACTAAAGACAGACTTAGCAGCCTTCTGGCTCCAAACATACAATCTACTTATCTGTTTCAATATGGAGCAAATGATTGACAGACCTTGTGGGTCCACACACTGCAGTCTTTCATTTACTAGCACTATCAATCGGTCAGAAACTTTAACCAGGCCTCAGGACGCTGTCTAGCTTTTCGTCTGTTGAGATCCAGAAGGTCATTTACTCGTGTGCTTCAACATAAAGCAAATTATTATTAAACCTTGTGGGACTCAACAGATTAGTCTGGACTTTCATTTCCCTGCACTCACTGTTAATAAGTTATGACCCAGTGGTAGTCCTCATCCGGTGAGGATCACCTGACCCTAGCAATCTAGACACTAGCACATCCTCAAGCAAGTCAACTCTCTTGCTATCATAACTTGATACCATTAGTAACAGACAATTTAACAGTTCACCTGGCCCTAGCACATCCACAAGCTAGCAGTCAACTCTCTTGCCATCATAACTGGATACCATTGGTAACAGACGCTTTAACAGTCCCCATGATACTAGCACATCCACAAGCTAGCGGTTGACACTCTTGCTATCATAACTCGATACCCTTGGTGACCGAGGCTTCGAGGGAGATGTTGAACTCGTCCAGCTGCATGAGCAGGCTGCAGAGGAAGTCCAGGTGAAGGGGATTGTGGAAGAAGGAGCACTCGTCGTACATGTTCTTGGTGACCGGAGTCTCGGCCAGCACGGGCAGCCACTGGTGGAGCAGGTGGTCCCTGTGGGTGTGAGGGCAAGGATCAGTTAGAATGGTTGTATGGAACATGCTTCAGCAAGAATTGCTACAAATCCAATTGAATTATTATTATTATTACTTATACCACGCTTTTTCCGTAAGGCCCAAGGCACTTACAGTGAATGAAAATCAAAATTACATCTTACAACTACAAACTGCAAAAAAAAGAGTATTTTTAAGGCCTTTCTGAAGGTAATAACTGATGAAGACTGCCTAATTCTTAGAGACATTTGTATTAAGCGCTACATAAAAATGAAATATTATTATCAATTCTAAGTATTTTGAAGCAGATACAGTAAATGTCATATCACTGGCTAATGTGCGGCTGACTGAATATGTGAGACAGAGAAGATCTCAACTTCCTGGAACAAATACTATTACCCAATCCTAATTCTAACCCCATAATCAAGTTCTGGTCATCCTAGGGTTGAAATCCATTGAAACAAGCTGATCATCTAGCATACAAGCATTGGTGTATACTGTGAAGTTTTGGAATCATTAATTGCTTCTTACTGATGAATTAATTGACTTGCTGTTGACTTTCTGCACACCATATCATACACGATTGTAATATTTAGAAAGTAATTTCAGGATTTCAATTGAAAATATCTTATGACAGGAGTATTGTTCACATCTGATATTCTAAGCAAACATGTTTAAAAGGTGTCGTGGTTGAGTGGATACGTCGCTGGACTGTCGATCACAAGGTCCGCAGTTCCAGTCCCTCCGCGGCACTCATGTCCTTTGGCAAGACATTGATCTACATTTGCCACACTCAACCCAGGTGATGTAAATGGGTACCTGGCAGGAATTCATTCCTTGAAATGCTGGAGCGCTGTAATGGCAGCTAGCCTAAAAGCCTGGGTAATAATAAATGCGCCACGGAATAGAATTTTAATAGACGGAGCTATAGAAATGCCTATTTTTATCATTATTAGGGTGACCAGACTAAAATGGAAGGAAATAGAGTACTTTGAGGAAATCATTGACTAACCTGACTCCGAGGCAGACGAGGAGCTGGAACTTGCCGTCCTTCCCGACCGTCTCGGCGTACCTGTTGATCTGGTGAAGCGTCAGGCAGAACGTTCTCCGCGCTCGCTTCTCTTGGCGCGAGCTGAAGCGGCCTTCCTCGTCCTGGTCCAGACTGTCCAAATAGCGAGCCACTTTCTCTGTAAAAGATAGTAATGAGAATTCATATCATGAAGAAAGGAGTCTTAAATATTCCAATTATTTTATCAGTAAAAAGCTACATAATAATACAGTAATACTCTGAAAGTTAATGTGGTTGGATTAGCAAGTGGCGCTTGTAAACTGGGGACTGGCTGGAATGCTCCCCAGGGAGTTGAATGAAACTCTAACTTACCAATGAAGTCCCAGATGAAGAAGTTGTTCCTGAAGAGCCTTGCCGACCTGAAGCCATACTGTAGGACCAGGTCCATGCACTTGACAAGACCACACTCCCCGCAAAGTAGTACTGTCAGCTGACCACGCTACAGAAACAAATAACAAACACATGTGAAAATGGCTTAAAATAATAATAATAATATTGGATATTTATATAGCGAACATATCCACCATACATGGTGCTCAAGGAACTTTAAATATTACCCCAGCTCTGCTAGGCGATTTTGGCGCTCACAGCATTCAAGGAATTTCTTCCTACCGGTACCCATTTAACACCTGGGTGGAGAGTGGCAAATGTAGATTAATATCTTGCCAAAGGACATTAGTGCCGTGGCGTTACTCGACCGGGGACCCTGTGATCCACAGTCCGACGACTTATCCACTAAACAACAACAGCTTCTTGTAATTCTTGTAATTCCACCAGGGTTTGAAACCAAGGCATTGGGCTAGTGTCCTTTGGTAAGGCTTTAACACTCATTACCAAGTCCCTTGGAGAGGATATAAAGCCATGGTCCTCTGGTTGCTTACATGTACCTACAAGCATACACATACTTTCTTAGCATAAACCTAACCAATGTATTTGACTTGATCACACCAAATAGCATATATGTTACATTCTATATTTATAAAAAAAAATTCTTCAGATCACTGACATACTTTAAAGTGACCCAAACACTAAGTACTCTTGACAATCGTACATAACTGTACTATCCTTACCTCCTTCTCTGGTTTGTAAAAGTGCTTGACGATGTTGTTCACCGCGTCGGTGAGGAGCTCCTGGATGGCGTTCTGGTCCAGCTTCTGCGGTACCCTGGGGGGCGGGGATGGCGAGCAGCTGGCACTGGCACTGGACCTCCTGGTGTGGGTGCGCCTGGGCGTGGTGTTGGACCCCCAGAAGTGGTCCCCCTCGTAGTCGATGATCGGGGCGATGAACTCTGCAACCAGGAGCCGCTCCAGGCTCCCGTCGTCCACGCTCCGGCCGATCCATCTGCCGCAGGGGAACCTGTTGGAAGATTTTGGGAATGTGGATTAGTGACAGTGTAAAAGATGAAAATTGAAAGTTGTCTCAGTCATTGAAGCTAGTGCCTTAGAGTAGATCTTGAATGTTGATTAGTGAAAGTGGAACAGATGAAGATTGAAAGTTGTCTCAGTCATTGAAGCTAGTGCCTTAGAGTAGATCTTGAATGTTGATTAGTGAAAGTGGAACAGATGAAGATTGAAAGTTGTCTCAGTCATTGAAGCTAGTGCCTTAGAGTAGATCTTGAATGTTGATTAGTGAAAGTGGAACAGATGAAGATTGAAAGTTGTCTCAGTCATTGAAGCTAGTGCCTTAGAGTAGATCTTGAATGTTGATTAGTGAAAGTGGAACAGATGAAGATTGAAAGTTGTCTCAGTCATTGAAGCTAGTGCCTTAGAGTAGATCTTGAATGTTGATTAGTGAAAGTGGAACTGATGAAGATTGAAAGTTGTCTCAGTCATTGAAGCTAGTGCCTTAGAGTAGATCTTGAATGTTGATTAGTGAAAGTGGAACAGATGAAGATTGAAAGTTGTCTCAGTCATTGAAGCTAGTGCCTTAGAGTAGATCTTGAATGTTGATTAGTGAAAGTGGAACAGATGAAGATTGAAAGTTGTCTCAGTCATTGAAGCTAGTGCCTTAGAGTAGATCTTGAATGTTGATTAGTGAAAGTGGAACAGATGAAGATTGAAAGTTGTCTCAGTCATTGAAGCTAGTGCCTTAGAGCAGATCTTGAATGTTGATTAGTGAAAGTGGAACAGATGAAGATTGAAAGTTGTCTCAGTCATTGAAGCTAGTGCCTTAGAGTAGATCTTGAATGTTGATTAGTGAAAGTGGAACAGATGAAGATTGAAAGTTGTCTCAGTCATTGAAGCTAGTGCCTTAGAGTAGATCTTGAATGTTGATTAGTGAAAGTGGAACAGATGAAGATTGAAAGTTGTCTCAGTCATTGAAGCTAGTGCCTTAGAGTAGATCTTGAATGTTGATTAGTGAAAGTGGAACAGATGAAGATTGAAAGTTGTCTCAGTCATTGAAGCTAGTGCCTTAGAGTAGATCTTGAATGTTGATTAGTGAAAGTGGAACAGATGAAGATTGAAAGTTGTCTCAGTCATTGAAGCTAGTGCCTTAGAGCAGATCTTGAATGTTGATTAGTGAAAGTGGAACAGATGAAGATTGAAAGTTGTCTCAGTCATTGAAGCTAGTGCCTTAGAGTAGATCTTGAATGTTGATTAATGAAAGTGGAACAGATGAAGATTGAAAGTTGTCTCAGTCATTGAAGCTAGTGCCTTAGAGTAGATCTTGAATGTTGATTAGTGAAAGTGGAACAGATGAAGATTGAAAGTTGTCTCAGTCATTGAAGCTAGTGCCTTAGAGTAGATCTTGAATGTTGATTAGTGAAAGTGTAAGAGATGAAGATTGAAAGTGGTCTCAGACCAGGGGTAAATCATAGAAACTAGTGCCTTAAAGCAGTTCTTGATCCTCAATAACCCAGTCCCTTGGATAGGATTCAAACCAGTAGGTATCTCCAGGGGACTGTGTTTCACAAAGACTAGGATTGATTTGAAGTTGGACTAACTATGGCAGGCCATTCATGCCACTGGTTGCCCTGACCATTGGTCTCTCAATTATGATCTTCAGATAATATTTTGTTCTTCAATAAAGAACTATCAAAAGAGCTGAATTCTGTAGAAGTGTGACCATGATTTGTACGACCCTTAAAAGATGGGTTCAAAAACCAAGGCGATGCGCTAGTGCCCTTTGGTAAGGCATTAATCCTTATTACCAGGTCTCTCGGAGAGGACCTAAAGCCGTTGGTCCTCTGGCTGCTTACTAACAAACATTTATGCTTTCTTAGCAGTCAGGTAAAATAACCACCACTACACAAATAAAATAAAATCAAATTAAAACTTACTTGTAGGCATGGCCAGTGATCTCATTCCTAATGTAGATATAATCCACCAACCATCGAGGTAAGAGGCCTGCGTTGTCGTGCCCTACCTGAAGGGTTGTTAATACACCAAGGTTGGCATGCTGTAAAGGGAAAAAAGAAAGAAACATGGCGTTGTAAGAAACAGGCAATTTTTAAAGACGAGGAGTATTTTACATGTCATACACAATACAATAACATTTAAATTGCGAATGAAGTACACTTAGATTGAACTGAATACATGTTAGTGAAATGTAACCTGCTGTTTCAAATGTTCCCCTTATTTCCCCATAGTCACAAAAGGTACCTGTCTCGAGGGTGGAGCTGAAGGATATCTAATATCCTTCAAATGACAAGAATGCGGCAAATTTCTCAGACACACTAATCTCCTACCCATTACCCACTCTCCCTTTCTCTCTCCCCCCCCCCCCCCTCTTCCCTTCTCCCCTCCAATCTGCCCCTTTCCCCTATTCTCTCCTACTCCCCTCCCCTCCACTCTCCTCTAATCCCTTCTGCTCTCCTTTTCTCCTTATAACTCTCTCATTCTCCCTCCACTCCCCTCTTCTCCCCATCGCTCTTCCATTCACCCTTCCACTCCCCTTCCATTTTCCACTCTTCCTTTCTCCCCTCCAATCTCCTCATCAATAACTCCTTCTCCCTTCACACTCATCTTCTCTCCACCACTATACCATTCCACCCTCCACTCCACTCCACCTTTTTCCCCCTCCACTCTCACTTTCTCCTCATCAATATCTCCTTCCCTCCCCCACTCTTAACTTCTCTCCCCAGGTTGGCCATCGTCAGTGCTTTCCCCTTCTCCCCTTCTCCTTTCCACTCCCCCCCCCCCCCCTCTCTCCTCCTCCCCCACCTTCCCTTATTTACCATCATTCAAACTTCCCTACTGACCTGGAAGGTAAAATCTTGAGCATTCTTTGGTATGTGGATGACCAGTGTCTGCAGAATCTCACCAAATTTTCTCTTCTCAACTATCCTTCTTTCCCCTCCCTTCTCCTTTCCTCACCCCTGCCCATCCCCCCCCCCTCCTCCTCACCTCCCACCTTCCCTCATCTACCATCATCACCTCCCTACTGACCTGAAAGGTAAAATCTTGAGCATTCTTTGGTAAGTGGATGACCGGTGTCTGCAGCATCTCCCCGGTGACTTGCAGCCAGGGGTTGGCTCTCGTCGTGCCTGTAGCTCTACGACTTCCCCTTTCTCCCTATCCTTCTTCTCTTCTCTTTCCACCCCCCCCCCCCCCACTCCTCACCCCCACCTCCCCTATCTACCATCATTAGAACTTACCTGGAAGGTAAAATCTTGAGCATTCTTTGGTATGTGGATGACCGGTGTCTGCAGCATCTCACCAGTGACTTGCAGCCAGGGGTTGGCCGTCGTAGGTGCCTGGAACTTCCGACTCTGGCTGATCAGTACGCGATACGTCACAACTGGAAAACGTCATAAAAAGACAATGATAGTAAATACATGTAAGAGGTGCAAGTCGAGTCTAAAGTGATAACATTTAAATAATTAACTCTTTATGTTGTATAGCCCTCTCTCAAGACTGATATTACTTTTTTGTTTTTGCTTTTGTTTGTGTGTTTGTTATCTTTGCTGAAATTATGCTATGAATGCTTTGGGAACTACTCTCGTACAAAGCCTAAGGGCTTTTATACATGTATGTAAATTTGTTTATGAACTATTTTGTATCTTTTGTATCAATGTAATGTTTTTACCGAGAACGAAATAAATCACTCTATTTCCTCCCTTGCTAGTCCTCCAACATTAATACTTTTTGGTGAATTTGTATATAAATTTGTATATAAATTAGTATATAAATTTGTATATAAATTTGTATATAAATCTGTATATGAATCTGTAATATGTAAAATGCAAAAGTTACCTAGAAAAACAGTTATTAAAGCCTATCTGCACTAGTTTGGCCAGGAGGGATTAGACCTCCCTGCATGGTCACTGACAAGTGGTTATCTCATCAAATCAGAGGGATTGTTTGCTATATAGAGGGCACAAGTAGCTATAAGTAGTGCAGTGGGGCTTTAACAGAGGCAATGTGATCATTGGGACATGAGCTTACCTGTCGAGGGGAAAGAGTTTGTGAAACAGCGGAAGTCCACGGCATTGAGAGAGAGGAGGTAGTACAGGAATTGCATCTTTTCTTCTTCACATCTCAAGAATGCTTCACCACGGTAACGCTTCCTGTACAGGGTGGTACAAAAAAAAAGATACATGTTTATACAGAGTGATCAAAAAAGAAAAGAAAAAAGATGATGCAATACATGGTGGTCAAAGAAAAGAGAAATGTAAAGTTTGTGTTAAGACAAGGCAGACCCTAAGAGACTGATGCAAGGACTGATGACAGAAATAGATGTTCATGTCTCAATTGCTTGTTGTTCCGAAAACTAAGAAATCATGGGGGATCGGTCATTTGCACAAGCTGGACCTCACCTATGGAATCAATTGCCACAATATATTCGTTATATTTCAAGTGTAGATTGCTTTAAACATGCCCTCAAAACTCACTTGTTCAAAGCAGCTTTCCAGTAGATTTATATTTACTTTCACATTGTTGTTCATTTTTGTGTGTATTTTTGTGTACAAATCTTCTCCATGCGCCTCAAACACATGAGTCATGTGGAGTTGGCGCATTACAAATACTCTATATTATTATAATAATTATGTACAAATCTTTTAGAGTGGTATAAACAACTGTTTTGTATATTTAAAACAAAAAAGGGAAACATGCCACTAATTTACATATTAGACTAGTCAAGACTTTTAGTACAGACGCAACAAAGACACAAATGTAGATACAGCAAATTAACTTCTTATCCATTTTGGTCATTTTGAGAAACAGTGGTTTATGTGTCACGGAGCACTTGGGCCTTAAGGAGTTAAGTCTATGTTTCACTAGCCATTGACTTTAATTGGGTGTTGGGTGGAGTTAAGTCTTTGTGTTTCCTGGAAAGCCCACATTTTTCTGAACATTTTGATATCAAATACTCATTTTGGCAAAATATGGAGTCACATGTACGTCTTTGTGTCACTGTACCCTCGATATGTCATTCCTCACATGGTCCATTTCGTTAATGGGTCACCATAGGTACAACATTATAACCTGTTCACACTCGATTCTTAAAATGTGCATAGTGAAAACCGTACCATAATTGCTATTATAGGGACAGTTTACACAATCAATCTGTAGAAGGTATAATATGAAAACCATGTCGTGGGAACAATATACATGTAGGACCAGTTTACATACTTTAGTACTAAATTATCCAAGGTGGAAACTACACCATACGTACAACATAGGACTAGTTCACACTCTGTAAACTCATGTTCTAAAAGGTCTACAGTGAAAACCATATGATGGGTAGATCATGGGACCAGTTTACACACTCACTTGAGCAGTTCATCATTTGAGACCAGCTCCTTGATGTGTTTGTGCAGCACTTTCCTTTCCAGCGCCAAGCGAACGAAAGCCCTGGATTTGCCCACCTCGGTTCGGATGTTGGTCATGCGGTCCACGTTTCTGGAAGTAAAAGGAAAAAACAGCGTTTAATTCGAGAAAAAGTGACAACTTCCCAATTATGAGTTTCAGAGGTCATGATAGTACTAAGAGGAAGATGGCAAGCTCTGAACAACATGATCAATGTTCTTTGCATTTTCTCATTCCTAAAGAAATAAAAATCAAGTCTATGTACTTTGTCAGTGATATACAAACACTTTGAACTCAGATATATTTCTTGTATTTCAAAAGCTTTGGAATTGACAGGCTGATCAAATTTTCCATTCATTTTCCCCATCTTCTAGGCAATCTGAAAACCATTATACATAACAGAGAAATTATAGGAAAATGTTAAACAATCAAAATAAACTTAGTATTGTTAGCGGGGGAGAGGGGACAAGAGAATGGGAGTAAAGAAAGAAAGAGGTACATACTTCCAGTCGAAGCTGAAATCGGTAGGTAGAGCCGGTAGAGGCTGACCCGGCGCGCTGCTGGATCTTCTGTGTCTGGGGGAACTCTCTGCACCTGCAGGATCAATCATCAAGAAAAGAAAATCAGGAAAATGGTCAATATTTCTCATTTGTACATGTACATGGACATGGACATGTACTCCAGTAACAAAAGCTTCAGTCGATACCTACAACTAGCTACATACATAACCCAGAGCTGCCAACCTTGTGCGACCAAAAAAAGGAATCATGATGGCAAAAAAAAGAAGGAATTTCAAGCAAAAAAAAGGAATTCATAAAAACGAAACTTACAACCACGCGCGACACACTTCCAATGAAGAAATGTTCATTCATCACGCTGTTTTTTCCATACAAGCAGGTAATTTTTTTGGTGGTTATTTTGGTATTATCGGCATTTCATTCTTTTTGAGAATATTTTTCTCTTCAAGTATGTTTTAAAATTAGTTTCCTATTGAATTTGTGATCAAATCACCACTTTAGGGCAGTTGTTTGATGTGTGGTATGTAAAAAAAAAAAAAAAAAAAAAAAAAAAAAAAAAAAAATTATAAAAAAACATATTTTATGAAGAAAAAACGTAATACCCTAATTTGGAGGGAAAAACGGAATGGTTGGCAGCTCTGATAACCGCATTGCAAGACCGAACACTTTACCTAAACACCTGACCCTATTAACAATCTAAAACTCAACACTCACCCTAACTCAATTCCTTTTGACGAAAAAAAAAATCGTGGAGCAAATGTTACCAGATCATTGTCTAATTAACCTTTTAGTTATAGTTATCAGCTTATGTACATAAATTCTGTGTGTTTTGACTTCACTTTGCCATTGGTCTCTCAATTATTCATTTGTCTTTATCTTACAATACGTAAATCATTAAAACTCAAATGAGCACACAGATACATGTACAAGTATCTGAGAGAGAGAGAGAGAGAGAGAGAGAGAGTCAGAGAGAGAGAGAGAGAGAGAGAGAGTCAGAGAGAGAGAAAGAAATAGAACCTCATTGTAAATAGGTTCTTGAGCTTTCATAGGCCTTCCTGTCAAGTTAATTTTTATTTTCTCGTGCTCTACACCCCTTTTTTCTGATCTTTTGTACCACTCTATTTTGATTCTACATGTATGTATCATTGAAAAGTTACACACAAATCTTACAGTAAATCCATATTTCTAATTTAAGCAGTATCTTTTTTATGTCATGTTATATTACATGTATGTAATTTATGTAAAGTGCACTGATTTGTCTTAGGACAGGAACTGCACTATATAAGTGGTACATATTATTAATTATCATTAATAATTGAGCTTGTCAGATCAGATCAAATCAAATCAAATCAGAAAAAGAGAGAGATAAAGTCTTTACCGGTCATTGCGAGATTCTGCTCGGAGGAAGCCTTCTTCCGCTGCCTGAAGCGACGATAGCTGAGAAGGTGCCACCAGAGGGCGCTCTTACTCTATAAAGACAAAGAGAGTGGCGAACAAAACACATTAAATATATGACTAACACAGGACTTCCAGAAGCGGATGATGAGACAGAGAGAAGGTTCAACTGACAGAGGCACATAGACAGATAAAAACACAAACTGAGGTACACATACGATGAAGAGCAAATGAAGTGAGAGAGAGAGACAGACATACAAACAGAAAGTCAGACTGACTATCCGACAGGCAAAGAAGAAGGTGAGGAGAGAGGAAGGTCTGAAGAGAAGGGTGCAGACTTTGAGTTATTTATTTATTTATTTATTTCTGATATTTAGACAGGGTAACTCATTATCACCAATAATGGTGGTCTTCCATGAGGCCCTGTTAATCATAATGAGGATTGACAAAGGGTGATATGTCATTTGGGGCAATGTGAAAATGTCATATTCACACAGATGGAGAAAAAAAGAGAGAAAAATGAGAAAGAGGAAAAAAAACAACAACAACAAAGTGAAATATGAAGAAAGAATGTGGTGGAGAAACAATGGAGAGACCAAAATGGAAGACAGAGAGAAATAAGAGGCAGACACACTGAGAAAGAGAGAGCGAGAGAGAGAAAGATAGACAGAGAAATACAAGGAGAGATCAATAAAAACAAACCTGTTTCTTTGATCTGCATCCATGACTGAATATCCTCTCTAGCAAGTCACAGAGGCTGGCTATGAGCGTGTTCTCTTCCACACCGGAACGATTGATGTCACCGTGCCCAAGCTCTATGGCTTCTTGACCCATCTTGAACACAAGCATCTTCTTGGTCTGTGTGAACACAATAGAGAATACGTACAATTAATGCAGGTAAGAGTAAGCACTGTTCACACTTGGCACTAAGGGAGCTAAAATATGGTAAATTTTGGAAACTACATGTACCATTTCTTGACCCATCTTAAACACAAGTATCTTTTTGGACTATGTGTACACAATGGAAATATTACACAATGCAGGTACATGTTACCACTGTTCACATTTAATATGAAGTAAGTTTCATTACAGCACATTTCACATCTATTAGTAATTAAATTTCCTTATCTCTTCAGGGTGCTGTAATATATTTAATATCCATCATAAAGAGATAACAATCCAAACAAATAATAATTGGGAAATAAGAATACCGAGTGTCATAAGGTGAAGGAATGAACTGTTTTTGGTTGGCATATGGATTAAATCTTCGGATATAGCTACCTTGATCTTGCATTCTTTGAGAAGCTCTTCGACAAACTGTTGATTTGCTTTCTTCTGGTCATAGTGGGTGAGAACAGCCTGCCTCACTGGAGGTTTCTTCGCATGTAGGTTGTGAAGGTATTTCTGAAGAGAAAATAGCAAAGGTAAAGAGTTAGACCTGTGTTTACAGGTGATCTGTGTGGGGTGTAGGTAAAAGAGAGATTTTGTATTGTATTGTATTGTATTTATTTTCCAATCATATTAAAAAGACAAATAACATATGACATAAAACGAAATGAAACATAACAGAATTAAAAAAAAAAAAAAATTACATGTGTATATAGATTGCTTAAAAATGATTGGCTGGATTGCCCGTTCAGTGTCATAAAAATATATGACACTGTTCTTCCTGGGGGTCCAGGTACAATTAAAAGAAACATTACGTAAATAGAAATTTTAAAAATAATGCACAAGCTGCTGAGTATAACACTTGCATGTCCTCTTTCGTGTTAACCAATGAAACAAAACAATTAAAAGCAAGAAAAGGCTATACATTTACAATTGCTGAGATTTGCGGATAATTAACCCGCTATGCGCGAATCAGTAAGAGGAACGACTGCAAGAAAGAGAGATAGAGAGAGAGAGAGAGAGAGAGAGAAAGGGAGAAAGAGAAATGGAGAAGAACTCTCTTGCAAAGCGTGTGGAAGGCACATGTAACGCCTGGCGCGTCCGGGGAAAGAAATCAAAGCAATTGAATAGGTGAATGAACAAGTACAAAATATGCTACCTTATTCACGGATCCCGGACGCGCCCAGCATAACACCATGTAATTCCAAACCCCACGCGAGAGACCCGCCCACTGTGTTGTCTAATTCTCTATCCGACAATCGATCCTCAGCTATAAACGTCAATAAACGATTTTCCCTATGAGGCCAAAATTTATACACACGCCATCATCAAACGCTAATTAAAAATGCCATACGCACACCCGACAACAAACTATCGCACCCCAATAGAAGGTACGCAGTGCTTGTTGCCAGCCGGGACAAGTTAAAAAGCTTATCCCAGCTAGCAACGCAAATGAATGCAATTCGCATTCCGACCATTGTGATGCGGCCGCTCGCTATCAGGTGATTACATAGCTTGTCCTAGGGCAGGCATGAGTAAACTTGACCACAAGAGGAAAACGGTGTATTGCCGCGTACCAAGCAAAACAAACCCACAAATTTGAGCATTCAGCCATCGTGCAGTAGAAAGAAAGACGAGGCAAAAAATACCATACACTTTCGGGCTACACGAAAGCTTGTTGGATGCCGGTCTTACTGAACAGACACAATTACAAGGCAGTTATTATCACAATGAGATATTCATTGGCATGTCATTACTATTTTAACCATCAACATCATCATAATCATAATAATTACCAACTAATTATTCTACTCCTTTTCTAGTAAACAATTGTATCCCTTGACATTATCATCGACATCGTCGCCATCATCAACACAATCACCTTTATTATCTCACCACCACCACCACCACCACCACCACCACCACCACCACCACCACCACCACCACCACCACCACCACCACCACCACCACCACCACCACCACCACCACCACCACCACCACCACCACCACCACCACCACCACCACCACCACCACCACCACCACCACCACCACCACCACCACCACCACCACCACCACCACCACCACCACCACCACCACCACCACCACCACCACCACCACCATCCCCATCACATACCTCTCTCTCATGAGGCTGGAGATTGAGATGCTCCTTGTGTTGTTCTTGTCTCTCCTTCTGCTTCCACTTTGCAATGTTCCTATATTTATTCCTCCTGTAACCGAAAAAAAAGAACACAGTCACCATGAGTCACTTTAGTAACAAACAAACATGTACGCATGTTACCCCAGGAAAAGTGTGGGAGAGGGGGGCATGGACAATTAAGAATTACATGTAATAATATGTTACAAGAAATTAAATCAATATTCAGTGAAACCTGTTTATAAAGACCATTCAAGGGAGACAAGAGAGGCAATCTTTATAGGCAGGTGACCTTCATGTACAGGTTCTTTAAAGGCCCACTGCACTACTTGTAGCTACTTGCGCCCTCTATACAACAAACAATGCCTAATCGGTGACCATTGGTCCCCCATGAACCTCTTTCTCTTTTGTTATTTGGGAGCTGAGTTGATGAGATAACCATCTGTCCAGTGACCTTGCAGTGTGGTCTAATCCCTCCTTTACACTAGTACTGATAAGCTTTAAGTTCAAAATTCAATGAGAATTTTCTTTTGAAGGGAAACATAAAAAGCGGTCTTTCTATACAGGTGATCGCTAAAGCAGGTTTGACTGTACCTTCTGCTATGCTAAAGAAGTTGTCCAATAGGGTGTATACAGTCTAACCTGTACATGTATATGTGTGCTCCACTCCTCATAGACACTCACTATAATCTATTGATGTCGTGACTTACCCATTAGTGTATGGTGGCTTTAAGAGCACATCATCTTGAAGCATTGGGAAGAATTGAGGTACGTGGCTAGAGTCTACTGGTAGAGCTCGAGGGGGGCAAGGGGTGTGGTCAATATTGCTGGCTCGCCTTCTGATCAACTCCTCTGAAGAGAAAAAAGGAAAAAAGAAAGAAAAAAAGGGACATGTAAGCACAAATTGTACATGAATCCCAAGTTTTTTCAGTTTGATGGAAGAACAATTAGAATGAATAGAATCAGCACAAACTCAAAACAGTATCATGTAACCTTTGCTCAAATTGTCAACAATTTTTAGTTGGTGTACAATGTACAAGTACAGTAAGTGCTCCACGGCGAACAGTATCATATCATGTTTGCCACTTAAAGCAGAAGACCACTCTGAGGCCTAAAAAAAAAGAAGATGTCCGACCGACCAACCCATGTTTTGGCACCTAAAGTGCAATACAACATCTATTTTTAGGCCCGATATTATGTTGGCTTCAGAAGCAGAAAAATAGGAGAAACAGGTCAATGAAAATTAGATCAAAAACCGATTGGAAAGTTGGAAAATGTAAAAAGGTGCAACCAATCAATCACAAATGGGCAACCTTCTCAAAAGATCTGCTGCAGAACAGACACAAAATCCATCTGTATGAGTTTAAAAGTCGACTTGGCACTAACCTGCTTCGCTGACAAATGAAGCGCCCTCTGTTGTCGGGGTCTGAGGCGAGCTGGACGGGAACTGCTCCACCCTCTCGTCGAAGATGCTGAGGGCTTGGTCCTTCTCCTCCCAGTTGGAGATGATCTTGTTGTCGATGAAGGAGGCGAAGAGCTGGGTCTCCAGGAAGGGTGACATGAACGGGAGATGGAGCTCAGGGGTGTCGGCAAGAAAGGCGTTCTGTTGGTAGATAAATAATAATAAATTATTATTATTATTATTATTATTATTATTATTATTATTAAATGATGTATTTATTGGAGGGAAGCTCTATGAAAGTGCCTTCTTTCAATAGGAGTTGAGAAGAACCTGATTGACCTCATAAAGTATATGTACCATCAGACCAAATGTGCTGTCATCGTTAATGGTAAAGTTACGGAATGGTTCCATGTTATGACAGGCGTCAGGCAAGGCTGTCTTCTTTCCCCTATTCTGTTTAACATCTTCCTAGAGTTTGTGATGGCAGATGTCAATTTTTGCAGGTATTGACAGATTTTTTGTTGCGAAGAGATATCGGTAGGTTATTCTACAGTTTGGGAGCAGCAGTTCCAAAGGCTCTATCCACCAAGTGTGGGTAGCATCCAGGGAAATGGATGGTTCAGCGCGATGCCTTGAGAGGAGCGAAGGGAGTAGCAAGATGGCTGCCTGATAGTTATAAGTACCATGCAGAATGGAAAGGACATAGATAATTATTGTTTGGGGTTTTGTAATGAAAGGATAGGAAATGTCATACTACAGAGAAGTTTGACATTTAATACTATTAATAGCTTAGATGAGGTAGAATGATAGAATCTGAAAGGTGTTGTGTTCATTTGGTCACAGAATGGTCAAGCTACATGTGAACTTTCAGTGCCTTTTTGAGAAATGTAAATCTCTGTTTGTTGTGCATGAATTTGACATGAGAATGAAGTATTAAAACATTAGATTCAATGAGCAAGTGAAAAACTGTATTTCACCCTTTCAGTTTCAGTGGCAATTAATAAACAAATTGTAACTAAAATGAAAAGCATGAGGACCAAAACTGAGCTTGACAATTTAATTTGTTCTCTCCATTCAAATTGTATATCTAAACAATGAATAAAGACAAAATATTTTTCCTAGGATATACTACTCGACAATACTCGTAGATCTCTACTGGTACTTTTTGTCTGTGCTTCAAAGAGGAAGCCATACTCCTGTTTCATTTCAACTATTGAGTAATGTAATGGTTGACGACTTATCTCGTTTTGTATCTTTATCATCAATACTATCAACCAACGGATCACAAGATTTTCAAAACATAGTCCAATATGTTATGTCTTGTGACTCTCTTTTTGGTCACATGAGCAACATGTTCAAATACTACTATACATGTATTCATGCATACATATAGAAAAGCAACTGAATGAACCTACAAACACTTTCATTATCTCAATACAATGATCAAAACAGTGTGTGTAAACATATTTTAGTTTTTCTTTAATACCTTTTGCAACAGTGTTGCCAAATATGGGTCCTGTTCCATGATACTTGTTATCAATAACAAGTTACAATAACTGTTATAAGCTACTGAAATATCATGATATTTGATTGGCTGAGAGCAAATTTGTCATAGTTATTTTGCATTTGTTATTGATAACAAGTTTTATGTCACACGGCCCTGGTCATGCAGTACTGACTATTAAAGCTGACTGAATAAAAAGTACATGTACATGTACACGTCACATAAAGCAAAAATACAGACAAATGAATGGGAGAAAAGGGTTTAGCTGTTAACCTACCTTATCAAAGTTCTGCATCTGGTCTCTGTTGGTGAACCATGCATCAAGACTGTTCACTCTCGGCTGGATGATGAAGGTCTCGTAGTTCCTCAGCAGCACGACTAACCTTCGGAGGAACACCTCACGTATTGCACAATTCAAGATTAGCATGGAGACATACTCTCTATGCTCTTGCTCCTCCTCGCTTAAGTTCAAGGGGTTCGCGTTGCTGTTGTCGTTCTCGTAATCGGCGATGGACGTGATGACGCCAGTCCGTTGCGCGATCTCCGCCACCCGCGACACGATCTCGTTGTTGCGCATGAAGTCAGCTTTGGACGGAAGCCCCGCCGTGGGGCTCTCGCCGCGGCTCGGCGAGCTGAAGTACGAACTGTCCTGATCGCCGTCGACACTGCCCTCGAGGTTCTGGTTCATGGCTGTGATGAGGGTGACCTCGGCCTGGACTTGCGACCAGTCAAAGTCGTTGACCTTGTTCTGGGAGATCATCTTACCCAAGGTCGTGGACGGGGTCGTGCTGGAGGGTGTGGTGGTTCGAGAGGGGGAGTTGTCCGGAAGGTGCTTGTGCTTCTGGATGAGGTTGTTCAGTTCTCGGATGAGGGTCGGCTTGTTGGGAAACTTGGGTAGTTCTTCTGGGAGTTCCACGCAAGAGTTGTCGATATCCACGTAGCAGAGAGATGCCTGGAAATATAGAGGGAGTCATAAGAAAATTATGATTATGTACTTGTACAACATCATGACCTGAATTCACAATTTAACTCCACAGTCTTCCTCTGTATGACAAACAAATAATACATTTCTCCAGAAATATCTGACAACATTCAAGCACAAAATATGAAATATATGCCAAATACTTTACAGTTCATATACATGTATGGAATACATTTTGATGATGAATTGTTTGCTTACATGAAAAAAGATCATGATATCAAACTGTAAAAGTAAGAAACAAACAAAATGAAATTCCCACAATAATGGTAACTGTTCTAGCATGTGCACTAGAAATTTCATAACATATTCCTTCTACCAGTAAAATAATTTTGTCCAAGATTCTCTGAATATTCTACATAGTTGTAGTCTCTATCAACCAGATACCTTTATAACAATAAATGGGTTCCTTAAATTCCTTCCTAAAAAGGAAAGAGATATCAAGAGCAACCCAATCAGGTACTATAGATACCCACCTCTATTCCATATCAGTACCCCCCCCCCCCCTCTCTCTCTCTCTCTCTCTCTTTCTCCTTCTCTTTTTTCTTCCTCCCTCTTTATCTCTATCTCTCTCTCTCTCTCTCTGCCTACATGTATATCTTTGTCTCAGCTCCCACATAAAATGCCATTATGGAACTCAGACTAGAGAGCTACAGTGTACATGTATGCACTACAACATATAACAGGCATGCATGTACATGTACACATGTATTTGTAGATGAGGAAGAAATTGTCACGAGGAAGCATAACGATGGTGATGTTATGATGCAAAACAGACATCAACTCATAAGCACTTTGTCATTTCCAGCTTAGGGCCCCTGATACCACACAATCTTCCTGCATGAATAATCTGACAGCTGAGGGCTTGGAAAATCATTTTCTTTTTACTCGTCAAAAAAAGTAGAAGACCTAGAGAATTTGCTGATATGCTACATGTTCGTATCAGACATGTGCGTGCAATTGAATATATGGACATACATTGTAAATGAATCCTAACAAAAATTCAATGTGTCCTCATATAGTACGGTATCTCCTTTCACTTTCCTTCATACCGCTTTCTACACATTTTTCTCCCTCATTCTATAACCCTCCCCCTCTCTCTCTCTATCGCTCACTCTCTCTCTACATCTCTTCCTCATTTGCTATCATTCATTCTCTGCTCCATATTAGTCTACCCTTCCCTCTCTCTCTCTTCCCTCCCCTTTCTCTCCCCTCCACCCTCCCCCCCCCCCCCTCTCTCTTCCCTCCCCTCTCTCTTCCCTCCCCTCTCTCTTCCCTCCCCCTCTCTCTCTCTTCCCCCTCCCCTGTCTCTCTCTCCCTCCCATTCCCCTCTCTCTCTTCCATTCTTCAATCTCCCCAGTCCTCACCCCACTGTTTTGTTATAAAAACAGTTTTTGAAATTTCGATTTCCAATCATAAATATCTTGATAATCAGACAGCTGATCGGCTTGTAAAAGTCACAGGGTTCCTGATTGACCTAAAGGTTTGTAATTATCATTGCAGCTAGCATGAGCTAAATCCAGGACTTTCTTTCAGAATCTGAGACAAAGATAACCAATCCCTTTATACTAATTGGTTCACATAAAAGTATTCATTAAAGTGATTCATTCATCATAACATGTCTAAGTTCCATTTCCTTGAATGACTCATCTAAAATTCTTTTTATTTTCATTTTCACCCCCTTTTCCCCTTCTTTAATTGCTAGCATTGTTTTGTCATGATGAAGCAATTATGCTCGTTCTTTTTTTGCAAGTGATTTTAATCCAAATTGTCATTGTTTTCTCGTACTACAAAGTCCACCTATGGTTTACATTATCAATGTATCTGTCCTCCTTTATTTCCAATTAATTGATAATAATCCACACAATATCTGTTCATATTTAATGCATGCTATGCAATATGCAGAAAGGTATCCTTAATTCAATTAATACAATAGTTGCATACAATTGTATGCATGGTCATTAATTCCAGGAAGTACATGTGTATAGCTTCAGTGATCCCCAAAATTGTATGAATAACAAATTGCTCTGGAGTTAGGTCTGCAATTGGACTTTATGTTAGGTTTACGGTTAGGGTACGGGTTACATGTTTAGGTCCAGGGACGAAGTGAAGAATTGGGAAAGTGTAGGGTATTTACTATTTACTGCAGAGCAATTGTCGCCAGAGCAAATGTCGGTCCACCGAAGCTATTTAAAGCCATGTCATTGCTTAAACAATGATAAATCCTTTATCCCGCGACAGTAGAGTACTCTTCACTGTTTTCATACGATCCATTTCCAGGCTGGAATTCATTTATCGGCTCTGACTCATAAAAAATGACACTTTAACCAAAAATCTCCCTGCACTAGAGAGGAAATCAACAACACGTGCAGAGGATGGGAACAGACCTGTTTATCGTCTCCTACATCTTGGAGCACAGAAAAGTTGTGGTGTCTCATTAGTCATGGCCATATATGGAGATGTAGTAGATTTATCTTGGGTATTAAAAAATAAGAGCAGCTATTTGCGTTACAATGAGGGTACATGTAGATGTAGGCTTCCACATACCATATTATAAAAAAAAATCTTATACCGTGTTTTAATTATTCATTCCATTCATGTTCAAAACTGCAAGAAAACATCTTTTACATGTATATATACATGTGTTTCAATTTTCAGTTTTGTTCTCATATATTGAATATTGTCAGATTTTTCACTTTTATTTCAAGTGTTTGAATCGGTGAAGCATAAGGAAATAACTAAATAAATTCCTACATGCAAGTTAATAGATTTTGCTCATTCAGTATGGGTACATCGATCAAATTATATCATTGAACAAAAATATACCATTGTTGCTTCGTGCCAAGGTACAATAACACTATTACAGAGAGAAATTATTAAAAAGTATCAAGGAAATGTTTTAAACAATTTAGATGCTGCCTTTACATCTTATGTGAACGAGATCCATCACAAAAAGCACATCACGTAGCAAGATTTAAGAATCTACTGCCACACCCCCGATTCCCCCCGCCCCCCCCCCCCCCAACAAAAAAAAAAAAATAAAAATAAATAAATAAATAAATAAATAAATAAATAAATAAAAAAAAAAATTTTTTTTTTTTTTTTTTTTTAAATATTTAAAAAAAAGAAAAAATAATATTAATAATGATAATAATTAAAAAAAATAAAAATTAAATTAAAAATAAATAAATAAAAGAACATATATGTGTGTACATTATAATAATAATATTTGTCAATCACTTAACAAACAAAGTCTTGTGACTGATACATGTAGTAGATACTGCCAGGTCTGCCCTGGATATTAATATATCTGCATGTTATTGTTTGTTGAGTGTACGACTGATGGTTATGTTTTGTCTTCCTTGTTCAGTGTTTTTTATAATCAATGAAATGCAACACCAGGCAGAGAGTACATGTAGATATTATACAAGTTCACTGTAGATGAAGAAATGATATATATGTACATACAATATACATGTATATTATAAAGAGTTCTTATATATGGAGGTATCTGTTATTTATCAAGGTAATTTTTCTGATCCTAGCTCTTTATATTCTTTTGTTTTTTAACCCTGATAAAACAACAATTAACAAGCTTCTTGATTTAACAAGGTAATTTCCATGGCCCCAAGTATCGAGGTTTCACTGTGCATGTATACATTGTATATTTACCAATACATGGACCAATATGAAAGTGTTGAAAATAAATGATGTACCGGTACTACAAACCATAAATGGAGCTGTATTTTTGTTTGCGCTATGGTATGGTGTCTACGAAAACAGGTAGACATATGTACATGCCTGTTTTCAAGGCTGGAAATCCTGGAATGGTTTAGTATTAGAGCGCGTTTATCTAGGCTTGCCACTAGATATGTACATATCGTACCCCACTATCGAACCCCACTATCATACCCCACTATACGATCGTGATTTGCGGGATGTCGCGTTTATCTACTCTTCACGATTCAAAATAAAGGCCTTGTGTCTGCCCAGCTGTTTTGACCCGGGAAGCAGACAGTTTCTCGGAGGTCAAATTCACACACATGCTTGTACACAACACCTGTGTGGTCCTATTTGTAAGTGACGTTCAAAACAGCTTTGCGTTTATCGACCTCTCAGAAACGTGATTCTGGCTGTATGTCACATACAAAACGCACCTTTTTGCGTCTTTTGATATGCCCATATCTAAAGACGTTTGAAAAAGGCTTTGCGTTTATCTACTTCTAAATTTGCCTGAAAGACGTTTGAGAAACCTGATTCTAGCCAAAAATATCCTAGATAAACGCAACCATAGTCAGTCACAAACACAATTACAAGTACATGCAGGTCAAAATTATAATCCCATGCAGGTCAAAATTTTAATCCCATGCACCTCTGGATTACACTAATCTGCCACCTGTCATGTCGTCTGCTGAGAGCCAGAAGGGTGTTAGGCATCACAGATGGTTTCCTTTTACAGAGTTACTGCCTTTCTGGCTCTTGGCAGAAATCATTTTAATAGGTTAACTAGACTTTAACTCTATTTGTAGTACCTTGCCAACTATTTTGATCTCTTGGCTCTAATTCATATGTACATGTAATTGTTAATATATGACAATACAGCTGTACGTGTAGGTCCCCAGTATCATGTGACTATTAACAGTTAAAGGAAATCGAACCCCAAGTAATAACTTTACTTATTCTGAGAGATTTATTATATCATTGCCCGTAAATCTACAAGATTCCCCACCAAAGTGTAAGAGATGTACATGTATAAAGCAAAAATAAAGTACAGTTTCTCAGCACGACATGGGCATCACCATTTTCTTGATAATGTGACATACTTTCTGGCTGTTTCAGGAGCAACTATAGAAGTAAAGAGCCTATGCAGCCTAGTCTCATAGTGCAGACACTGTTACGCATGACTGACAAGGGTTTGTGCCGGCAAGCAAGAGTCTGAGCCGGCAGACTATTCCCATACATAACTACATAGATTGGTCCCATTCATAAGCTGTGCAGGTGGCCTCTCATATCTCCATAACTGTCATCTTTTCTGTGCCGAGTGACAGAGATGGACAAATTTCCAATAAAGATCTCCGTCCCATGTACCAACACGATCAATGTCCAATCATCATCGTGCACGTGCGGAGCACTCAACAATATCTCTCTCTTTCTCCGCTGACAGCCCTCAAAATCTTTCGTTCATTAAAGCGAAAAACAGAGACTTCACAGGCAGCAACAACCAAAAGCTCAATGTCACAACAAATGAAAATAATTTGTCCTATATTTTGTTTCCATCACAAACTAGGGATATATTAGTTTTTAATCTATTTCTTCTGAGTCTTACAGCACAAACAATTCTAAAGGAGAGAGAGAGAGAGAGAGAGAGAGAGAGGGGGGGGGGTGAGATACACGTATGTAAAGCTCTACTTTATGATGTTTTGAGTACCAGTAATTGTAGCAGAAAAGATGTAGACATTGATGCGGGGTTATTTTTCATCTATTTGGAGCCAAAAGGGCATTAACTCATACTCTAATACTCTATACTTTAACATGCAGTTAACACCCATATTTAATGCCCTTCTGGCTCTGCCCAGACGTGTTCATCTCTGAAACTACAAACAGTGTCTACAAATCCATAAAACGTGATGACATTTCAGGTTCAATTAACGAAAACAGGATTAAAACTTCAAACATGAACTGTCAAAATCTTTATCTACCTTACATGTAGCCAATGACAGAATGATGACGAAACATGTAAGAAGGAAATGCTGAATTTGTCCGATTAATGCAACAGGGGACTCTTGTTTTCAAGAAAAAATGCTTCTCCAAAAGAAAGTACACAAAATATTTAATTAGACTCCCCCTTTTAAAGTTTTAACAATCATTTCAGAGCTCCTCGGTAGAATTAAACCCAACTGCTGTCATTCAAGAAGCAAAACCATATACCACTATTTCCTTGACCACCGATGCAGATGCAGAACTGACCAAAGAAGAAATGCACGTAATGACCGAAGGCCATCTCTGTCTGCCTTTTTGTGTTAAACATGTAAATCTAATAACTACATGTAAGCTGTTGTGCATGCTCCAGCTCTTGGCTAAACCTTACTGTACATGTAAGTTTCTTGCCATGAAAATGGCCATCTTTAAGAGGCCACAAAAGTTTAGTTTCGTGAAAGTCTCTGGTTTTACAGTTAGTTCATTGTACTTACAGTACACAAAGTACAGTCAAACCTGTCCTAGCGGCCACCTCTCTATAAAGGCCACCTGTCTATAGTGGCCATACAATTTGTCTCCCTCAAGAGAGAGAGAGAGAGAGAGAGAGAGAGAGAGAGGGAGGGAGGGAGGGAGAGAGAGAGAGGGAGGGAGAGAGAGAGAGATAAATATGTGCTGTAGAACCTGTGTAGAAAGACTCCCTTGGGTGGCCTTAATAGATACATGTAAGTCTGATTTTAAATACATGTGAAATTGTAGTTAAAGCCCCACTGTACTACCTGTGGCTACTTGCTCCCTCTATATTGAAAACAATGCCTAATCGATGACCACTGGTCCCCCATGATCCTCTTTTTCTTATGTTAATTGAGAGCTGAGTTGATGAGATATCCACCTTTCAGTGACCTCGCTGGGTGTTCTAATCCCTCCTAGCCAAACTAGTACAGACAGCCTTTAAAGGTAGGCTTTACTACTTCAGCCAGAAGGGATTAGACCACACAGCGAGCCAGCGAGGTCACTGTGACAGGTGGCTATCTCATTAACTCAGCTCTCATTTAACATAAGAAAAAGAGGATCATGGGGGACCAACAGGCACCGATTCGGGAAGTTTTCACTATAGAGGGAGCAAGTAGCTACAAGTAGGATAGTGTGCCTTTAAATGTAAATACCATTTACAGTATATGTACAGTTGTACCTCCAAGAGAAGATGAACCTCATTCAAACCCTATGTCTCTTTATCCCTAAACATGTAATCCTCCTTTTCCGCCACCAGCTGCCTGATTTTGAAGGTTCCTTTATTTGCATGCAATACAACATTACCCTGTCCTATTTACATGCATGGCAAAAGGAAACATGTCTCAATAATAATATCAAACTTGCTGAATGAAATTGAAAGAGGCAAGTCTATCAACATTAAATAATGGACGCTTCATCTCTTTCTTTTCCAGAATATTTAACTGGCCTTTCTGAAGTGTTCACAAAGAGTCTCTACATTTAGCGTTGTAAATTTGCGTATGTTGTGGAATTTCATGCATTTATATATCTTCTTATGGAAATTACAATACATTGTAAGTCTAACTTGAACCAGAACTTACTTTCCATGATTCCTCAATTAATCCCAGTTTTTTCCTTCTTTTAAAATTAAATATTTCTTGTTTATGAATAGCACAATAATTTTAACAGAAACTGACTCTGAATTTTAATAGATTATTGCTCTTTCTGTAATTCATAATATTCTTGATCAAAAGAAAACACCAAAAAATGTCATTACAAGGTGACATCACACTGCTAAGACTGGTCTGGAATCATAACAAATAATCTGGGGCAAATTTCAAAACCTGTATCTCGATCGCAACATGCTTCCTTTTGGCACCTCCTAATGCTCTACATTGATCGTCCCATAATGGTTGATATTACCTTTAGTGGTTGTTTATCTACAGTATCATGCAGCCATAACTACATTATGTATCTCAAACCTTAACAGCGGGTGGTAATTCCATTACCCAATGCCCCCACATGACTCATCGTTGAACTTCCAATACAACCCGTAATGTGCTTGGATTCTTCTTACGTTAGGGTAGATTTACAATTAAGAAACAGGGCACAATTGGTGATTAGGCTCTGGGGAGAGAGGGAGAGAGGGAGGAAGGGAGGGAGGGAAGGAAGGAGGGAGAGAGAGAAGAAGGGAGGAAGGAAAGGAGGGAGGGAGAGAGAGGGAGGGAGAGAGAGGGAGGGAGGAGAGAGGAAGGAGAGAAGGGAGGAGAGAGAGAGAGAGGGGGGGAGAAGGGGAAGGGGAAGAGGGAGAAGGGGGAGAGGGAGATAGGGGCCATATTGATACATTCTAGAATCTAGATCCATCCCCCCCCCCCAATACTATGTTTAGATTCTTCCTGCATTAAGGTAGATTAATAATCAAGAGATGGGGCACAATCAGTAATTAGGCTTTGGGGGGGGGGGGGGAAGGAGGGGCATATTGACACATTTTAGAACCCCACCATTTCCAAACATGTAACATATGACGTGCATGGATTCTGCTGACGTACAGGTACAGTATAGGAAAGAGATCAACTACAATATATCTCCAGCTGTGAGCACAATGATAAGGCCTGTCATCATCAGCTTGAGATTGCCAAATAACCTGCTATTTTGACTATCCCGATCGCAAATTATCCAGCTAATTTGCGTCTTCATCAGCGCGCAATTGCAATTAGCGGTGTGTTTGGTCGAGATAATCATCTGAAGATATCTTGGGCTAGTTTACCAAATATCCCGCCATTTGGCAAAATATCACGCTTTTCGTCCAGTGCGTCTTCACCAGCCCTAAGACTCGCACTATACATGTATATGAACACTGAGCAAAATATCTTGAGCTAATTTCTCGAGCTGGAGTTTCATGTTTCGAGGTCGAGTCTTGAACTGATGAAGACTTGTAACTTCAGGCTACTTCCCAAATCAGAAATAGCGGGCTTTTTGGCAATCTCAAGCTGATGAAGACATACATACACCTGTAGTAAGTAACAGGGCTCTGTGAAGAAAGGAGGAGATGGGGATCGGAGGGGGGAGTGGCATCGTTCGATACATGCATACTTCAGAACCTTCCCTCTTCCCACAAACAAAATCACAATCACTGCATGGAGTGAGGGCATCAAGGCAAATAGATGGGATTGAAGTTGATTTGATTCCTCAACTTTTACATCATCCATGATTACTAAAAATAAGATGCCATCAATTAAAAATAATGATTGAAAGTAGAGATTTGCAACTGGATTGTACGATCAAATCATTTAGTCTTAACCAAGAGGGAATTATCACATGCCTTTTCTGTACCATGTATCTCAGGTTGACAACTGCTTTCCCATTACACCACCAGGCCAGCTAATGGCCCATTTCACTATGACCTTTAACCTTTATGACCTTTCACCTTTATCCCTAACAACCAATAGTAAAAGAGAAAGGGTTACCTTTATATCCTGGACCTGCATACGGTAATCAAGAAATCATTTGAAACATTTGAAATGTCATTTAAAAAACATAATTGAAATGAGATAAATTACATGTAATTACACTTTATTTGTTAATTTTGATATTTTATCTCATCTTTGATAATCTGACAACTTTGTCAAAGGTACTCATTCTTTCATCCATCCATCAATCCACCAATTCAATTATTGCGCAACTTGTTAAGTATATATTGTCAATATCTCCCCTCCACGAAATCCATCAGTGTATTGATGAAATCAAAAGCCTTTTTCTTGTATCTCCCTCTGCAAAAAAAGAGACTTCAAACTGTTTTTGAAGGACTGTATATATATACCATTAAAAGCCCCTCCCCCGTAACATAAAATATTAAAGTAGAATAAATAAATAAATGAATGAATAACTAAATTAATCGGTGGGACTACATAAATGCTGTAGATTTAATCATCAATCATTTATCACCACAAGAATATAGACACTGATTAGCTCAGACTGCCGGATAACATGCCTTTACCGATCCGGCAAGCCTGGATTATCTACAGGAAGACATGAGCTACGCTGCGGTCTCTGACACCGGAACGACCTCCTACGAGCAGTCGAGCAGCCGTTCAATGCTCTGGTTATAAGGCACAAATCGGCTCTAATCTGGGGTTTCATAACCGTGACATTTACGGTGGAACGTACAGGTGTTTGGACTTGGCTAACATGCAAGTTTCTATGGGCAAATCAGAGCTATTTTGTCCCATATGTTACTGACCACACGGTAACCAAGTACACGAACAACTAAATTATTCATACCCCCCTGAAAGTTTGAGGTTTGTTGTGTTTTTTCGAAACTCAAGGATGAGTCATAGACGGGTTGAAATGCGACCTTTGCTGAATATTTGTAGATGTAAGATTCAATATATGTCAGATTCTCAAGAAACATAAATCGGGACAGAACAATTTTGCACATACTTAAAGCCCCACTGTCCTACTTGTACCTACTAGCTCCCTCTATATAGAAAACTTCCCCAATCGGTGCCTGTTGGTCCCCCATGATCCTCTTTTTCTTATGTTAGTTGAGAGCTGAGTTAATGAGATAGCAACCTGTCAGTGACCTCGCTATGTGGTCTAATCCCTTCTGGGCCAGTAGTATTGGCGGTCTTTAAAACATCACAGAATTTGGTCAAGGTAGTTGTTAAAGGTAAAGACCAGTATTGGAAACGCCCCAATTTCAAAATATGAAATGGAAGCTCTTATTACCAATCATGTGAAAGAATATGTTTTGAATAATACATGATAAAAAATTTGCCGGGAAACTGCCTACTAATTGATATATTTGGTAAATTAGTTTATCTATTGGTGTGTGAGAGATAAAAACGCACGTGTCACGCACGTGTGCGTAGTCCAATATACATCTTTCTGTGTACAGTGCTTGTAACTTTATGAAGACTTGGCCAAATTTCTTATCATATTGACGATTCCAGCACCTTGCAGTACATCTATGCTAGATGATCAACCTTTTCTGATTGATTTCACAACGTTTCTTTCACAATGCAATCGCATGACCATAACTGGTCTTTATCTTTAACTGTAAATGTATCTCATAACCTTGACACATGTGATGTCAGTTTATACTCATAGCTCCACAATAGGCCTACAGTCAAACCTGTGTTAGTGGCTACCTGTCTGAAGTGGCCATGTATTAAGTCTCCCTCTAGAAAGAAATGTGTCTTGTAGAACCTGTCTATAAAGGCCATCCATCTACAGTGGCCCCTTTTTATGTTCCCCTAAGGTGACCCTACTGGGTCAGTTTTCGACTTTATTTGGTAACATATATGGGACATGAAATGACTAAAATACCATAGACTTGCTCTTAATTCATAGTGATGCCAATAATTCTATCTAACATATGTTTCAATTTCCTTGATTAGTTGCAAAACGAAATTGATCACATTTCTTTTGCAGCACCCTGTCACAAGAGCTCGACAATAATAGGCCCTCATATATCAGGTGCCAGAATACTAGGTCCCAAGCCCCAGATTTAACATAGGGATCATGCATAGGCCTATAGAGTACAGACCCCCCAAATCTCAATCGGGACCCTCTGTGCTATTAAAAAGATACAGAGCCATACTGTAGCCTTTACACACATATTCCCTTTTGGATCTTGGTTCATGATCATATTTTAAGCACCATTTTGTGAACTTCCTTCCTTCATTAAGCAGTCATGGTGAGGCTCTCAATTTGGAACCCTGGATGCACTAGTTGTAAATGTCATTGCTTTATAAGTTATAAGCCAGTTATGCTGCAAAGAAATGCATCATTTCATTAAAAAACAATTAAAGAGTACCCACTTCATTGTTTGATACCTCTTTTTTCATAAGAATTTGCCAAAAAACACAAAAAGTGCAAATTAATAACTTTTTCATTTTTTGTCCATTTAAATTTAAACTTTCACCAGTCTACTTTTCTGACTTGTCTGCTTCCTTCTAGAGTAATTTTCTATTAAAGCCTGTCTGCACTAGTTTGGTCAGGAGGAATTAGACCTCCCTGCAAAGTCACTGACAGGTGGTTATCTTATCAAATCATCTCTCACTTAACGTAAGAAAAAGGGGATCATGGGGGACCAACGGGTACCACTTAGGCATTGTTTGCTCTATAGAGGGCGTAAGTAGCTACAAGTAGTGCAGTCTCACTTTAAAGCCCCACTACCTACCTATAGCTACTTGCGCCCTCTATATAGCAAACAATGCCTAATCAGTGCCTGTTGGTCCCCCATGATCCCCTTTCTCTTATATTAATTGAGAGCTGATTTGATGAGATAACCACCTGTCAGTGACCTTGCCGGGAGGTCTTATCCTTCCCAGCCAAACTAGTGCAGGCAGGCTTTAAGGTTGGATTTTTCTTAAACTCCACCAGAAGGCAGCACCTGACTGTAAATCTCCTTACCTGAGTGGGAAGTTCCATGTCCGACTCCGGGTGGAGGTTGGCCTCGCCGAGGTGAAGACCCATGATGAACGGGAGCGGGGCGTCCAGAAAGTAGAGCATAGAGGCCGGAAGAATCGGGACATAGGCGTAAGGCCACGTGAAGGGAAAGAGGAGGGCAGTGATGCACTCTGATACCAGCATCAGTCGCTGGTAATCTGGAAAGGGGGGAAAAACAAATCACACAGTAAGTTTCATTCTTTATTACAGGAATGCAATTACAAAGCATTTTGCAAGAGAGAGGAGACCACATCTCATGGCAACAGTGGAGGTTGGAAGAAGAGCAACGTAGGTGTAAGGCCATTGAAAGGGAAAGATGAGGGCTCTGCTATCAACACCAGTTGCTGGAAATCTGGAAAGGGGGGCAAAAGAGCAAATGTTTAGATTCATTTTTCTGGTGTAGAGAAGAAGTTACAAAGCTTTCATGGTAAGAGACAGATGACTACATCATGAAGCAACACAGGAAATTGGAAGAATCGGGACATAGACATAAGGCCACGAGAAGGGGAAGATGAGGGCTGTGATGCACTCCTGATACCAGCATCAGTCGCTGGTAATCTGGAAAGGGGGGAAACAAGAGCGAATGTTTAGATTCATTTTTCTGGTGTAAAGAAGAAGTTACAAAGCTTTCATGGTAAAAGACAGATGACTACATCATGAAGCAACACATGAAATCGGAAGAATCGGGACATAGGCGTAAGGCCACTGAAAAGGAAAGCTGAGGGCGGTGATGCACTCCACTACCAGCATCAGTAGCTGGTAATCTGGAAAGGGGGGAAACAGAGCAAATGTTTAGATTTGTTTTCTTGCATAGAGAAGAAGGTACAAAGCTTTCATGGTAAGAGACAGAGGATTACACCATGACGCAACACTAGAGGTCGGAAGAAAAGCAACATAGGAGTAAGGCCAGTCAGCAGCTGGTAGTCTGGAAGGGGGAACAAAGCAAATGTTTAGATTCATTCTCTTGCCTCAGGAGGTGCTTTACCAAGCATATCATAAGAGACCTGTCTTACAAAGAGTTGCGGTTCATCCAAGTCAATCTAAAAAAGTCCTCTAATCAATCACAAATTTGCAATCTCCTCTCTTAAGTAATTGTTGCGATTGATATCAATCACAAAAAAGTTATGATTAACGTCAACTCTTTATACATGTACATCAGAGTAGTGAGTGATATATATGTAGCACTGGAAATCTTTCCAAAGGGCTTTTAATAGTAAGAGAAAAGAAATAAAAACATTACCAACAATATAACTGCTGGTAATTTGCAAGATAAAGGGAGGGAGACACCCAATGATATAAAAGATTAAAACTTTCCAATTTCAAAGAGATTCTCAATATCTATCCCTCCCTCTGTTTGTTGTTGTTTATTTTCCTTTTCAACCTTTTTTTTTCTCCTTCTCTTTGATATCATACTGTACCTTTGGACACAAGTAAGATTTGCTTTTCTAGAAAAACGCAGGTGAGGAGATCGATCACGTTCTCCGTCCCGAGGAGGTCGAAAATGTCCCGTATCGCGTACTCGCAGAGCGGCAGCTCGGCTCTCGACGGCCTCTGGCAGGCGATATTGCGGGAGACACCGGTGAAGACCATACTCCGTCCCATCGGAGGAAGCGGCACGTCGTAGAGGACATTGAAGATGTAGCTCTCCATGGGGAGAGACGGAGAGTTCGTGGAGCGGACGACCTCGAACAGCTGCTCCAGGAACTTCCTGGCCGCCCTGGCGAAGGGCAGTGGCATGATGAGACATATAGACTTTGAAACATAGAGGGTGTCCTTCACCATGTCAAAGTGCGGGTTCTTGGTGTCTGTGTGAGTTCTGGGAAGCGTGTATGCTTTCGTGGTGTAGCACTGGTGGACGGGGCTTCGCCTCCGCGTCCTGGGCGACGCCAGGCCCTGGATCGCCGGACTGGACTGGCGCCGTTGGAAGCGCGGCGAGCCAATAGTTCTGTACCCACTATTACTAGGGTGCGTTTCGTCGTAGATGCTGCCTGTGCTTCCCTGGGTCACGCTGGCCTTCCGTAGCCTTCGGTCCTCTCCATACTTGTGTTGCAGGGTCTGGAGCTCGGCGCAGATGTGCTGACTGGACACCTGCTCATAGAAGGTGAGGGACGCCCCATAGATTCTTGTGTTGTCCTCCCGCGTCATGACAAAGGAATGGAACTTGGCCGTACGGTTCCCCTTCTGAGTTCTGAAGGAAAGCCCCTTGGGCATGCACAGCTGGAAAAAAGAAGAAACACAAATTAGATATGAGGTAATCAAAAATGAAATATATCCTTATTCAGCCTAAACCACAAGTTGTTCCCTAGATGTTTTCTACCTCGCTTAAAAACTTATCATTAAATGTTATTATGATTTTTCAACCATTTATAATGTGATATCCCATATCAATATTATTTCAGAATGCATTTAAGTCTATGTGGTTTGTTTTCAAAGCAACAGGTCATTTCTTTTTCTTTCTCTTACTTCTTTTCTGTCTCTCCCCTTTTCACCTACATGCACATAGAGCCTGAAAGTGTAAACATCAATTCTTCTCCCTTCTTCTTGTTTTTGTTCTTCTCTCTTCTCTCTCTCTCTCTATCTCTCTCTCTTTCTCGCACTACAGTGTATATCTCTAACTCTCCATTTCTCACCACCCTACCTCCCTCTCCCTCTCCCTCTCCCTCTCTCTCTTTCTCTCTCTCTCTCTCTCTCTACAGTGCATATATATCTAACTTTCCATTTCTCACCACCCTACCTCCCTCTCCCTCTCCATCTCACTTCAAAACATCCAACTTGACACTCTGCCCTAACCTATCCCGCTTCTCACACACACACACACCCACACCCACACCCACACACACCAACGCAACCTTTACACGTGTCAATAACCCCGCCAAGGTGTCGCGCTGCTTGCGCACCCTCAATGCCGAACCGACAAGGTGAGCAATGCCAGGTGCGGAAATGGCGCATAATGGCCGCTCATACTGCCCCATCAATTTTTCATAATCCATTTCCATGAATAATATACATGTTGATGCTGCTCGGCAAGGTGAGTTAAAGTAAAAAGTGGCTTACACAAAGGGCGAGAGTATCATTTAGAAATGAATAAAAGAGTTATTTTCCCTTTGGCGGTGAGAATTGCCTCCAGGTAAGCGATTAGTTTGTTTAGAAGCACAAGTTTTTTCCCTGTCATATCACCTCTGTGTTTGCTGGATTTAGTAGTTTTCATCTGAATCTTTTTGTGTTGTCGGCTGCCCTTAAGAAGTCTGTAAGAGCTACAGCGTACCTACACATATTTATGTACATGCATCGTCAATGACAGTAACAACTTTCTCGCAGAAAACCAATGATGTGTACCTTGTAGCTGAACCCCCCAAAAAATGAAATAATCATCTCATACACTATTGCTATGTCAATTTATTACCTAAAATATGAAAAAAACAGTTTGACATGCTTATTTCAGACTGCATCAAAGATGATCTGAATGTCTCTTTGGTCACATTTTTTCCAGGATCATTTGAACGCTTTCAAGGTCTTATTTGCTTCCCACTCCTGAGTGTGATGATCAGTAGTCACAAAAGGATATTTTTCATATTCCCAAAAATTTAGAGGGCTTCTTAATAAAAAAAAATTTGCGCTGTTTAATGTTCTATTATGAAGGGTTTGAAAAGAGGAGATGAAAATGAATAAAAATTGGTTGTTGTAATTTATAAACCATGAGAATCCTTAAAATGTTCAAAAACTTGGTAAGATGAAATGTAATCATTTCTTAAGGAGAAAAAACCTCTCTGGAGTATCTATACCTATAGAATTAGTCACTGACTTAGCCATGATAACACATCTATAATTTTTGTACCAAGGTCTTTTACCTTACACATCTTTCCAAAGTACACATGTACCAGAGAAAAAATTACTTTAAAAATAAATTAATTTGTTTTACATTGAACTATATGCAAAATTTGGGGGCTCTTTTAAGACTTTCAGGGGCTCTTTTGAGCATTTCGGAGGCTGATTCACCCGGAGCCCCCATGTATTTTTTTCCTGCAATGTACTCATGGTACCATGCACTGTCTGTAAATGTTTGTCTGTCAGCACTTTGTTACGATTAGCATTCAAGACGCTCGCACCCCACCACCAAGCCCTTATCTATCAACCCCCTCTATGTTTTGATATGTGACACCGGTGATGAATGTGTTTGGGGTGCGCGGATTTGCGCTTCCCATCTACGGCTCAACGACCATCCACCGTCCAGTTTATTTTTGTGACGCTCTAGAAAGCGGGGGTTTCATCAGACATGGTCGATATCCAGGCAGGCCCATCTAAACTGCTGACGGAGTATCATCAAGAAAGTTATTTTTCCTAGGTGATAGACCAAAGGATATTCCTGGATTCCCTAGATCCATCATTCGCTTGGAGCTAGAAGGGCATTAACTCATATAAGCATGTAGTTTAACAAAGAGTTAACACCCTACTGGCTCCAAATGGACGACAAGTAGGCCCTTTAGAAATTAAAAGAAGAAATCTTAGTTCTAAGTAACTAAATTGTGAAGAATTGAAAACAAAATTTAGGGAAATATTTTCTGAAACACTATAATTGTTTATCTATTCAAATTAATGACAGGTGTACCCCCCCCCCCCCCCCCCGCCCCCTTTACATTCTAATGATACATTACTGTTGCTGCAAAAATGGTCCATGGCAGTTAGAAATCATTTGCAGTACTTCTCTAATTAAATTTTCAAGAAATTTGGTTTCCTAGTAGTTTCTGTAATAGGGGAATATCAATGGTACATCACGCCCATCGTGAAGACTTGCATGAACATACTTGACATACATGTAGCGTAGTACGTCAGCCCTCCCACCATTTTTCAGGAATGCATGGCATTACATTTGTGAAATCATGTTCTATTAAATTCCACATACCGTACCAGTATGTATACATGAACTGTACATCTCTACTGCTGCCTGCTTAAAAATATTCCACAACTACTACAGTAAGTACTATAGACTCAATATACTTTACATGTAGTTTATGGACTGATCAATGCATTTGTATCATAACTTCATTTGTTTTACAATCTTACCATAAAGATTAACTTTTATGAAATAAAATGGTAGTATTTTTAACTTTCATTGTTGTGCCATACTTTCATAAAAAGGCATATTAGTGAAAAATGTGTAGACAGAGTGGGTGTTTACCAATCTCATTGTATAATTAGTAGCTAGGATGAAGAAGATGATAGTGGTTGTGGAGTAGATGAAAAGTAATAAAAGATGAAAAAGAAGAAGAAGAAGAAGATGAACAAGAAGAAGAAGAAGATGAACAAGAAGAAGAAGAAGATGAAAAAGAAGAAGAAGATGAACAAGAAGAAGAAGAAGAAGATGAACAAGAAGAACAAGAAGAAGAAGAAGATGAACAAGAAGAAGAACAAGAAGAACAAGAAGAACAAGAAGAAGAAGAAAAAGAAGAACAAGAAAAAGAAAAAGAAGGAGGAAAATTAGAAGCAAGGGAGAGGAGGAAGAAGAGAAAGAAGAAGGAGAAAAAGAAGAAGAAGGAGAAGTACAATTGTTGCATTTTTTTACCATCAATATAGCTGTCCTAAAAAAACACAAACATGTACATGTATTGCCATATTTTTTCAGTGTTTTCAATAACTTCATCTGTTTATTACAAAATTTGAAAGTTATGACGACATGTTCTTTATTGTACCTTGGATAAAGTTGGCATTCACCCAGTTTTTCGGTCACGCATGCACCCAAATAAATCTATAAAAAGCAAAGTGCTACAGATTTTTTTGTCTTTCTTTTTTAGAAGGCAAATGTCAGACTCGACTTGGCCCTTCCTACATTTTCCGGTTAAAGTGATCAGTACGATCATTCCCGTCCTGGGAGGGATTCCATCTTCATCAATCTACTTTCATTTCGGTCAAGTTCATGTAGGTAGGCCGCTATACTGTGGTTGTGGCACTTCATGTACCATAGTTGTGTTCATTGGTAAGGAAACAAAATAGCAAAATGCACACATCTCCATTTGTTCCAAAGTTAATTCATCACTACTTTATCTTTTAATTGATTTTGCAGGGAAGTAGTGAGTTGTATGCATCTCCAAGACACCATTCACAAACAGTATCCATACAAAATATCCATAATCCAGTTTTTCTAAACATGTACATGTGTACAATTCATACCCCTTGTAAATTTAATGTTTTTTTGTTCTTTTTTGTAACACAAGAATGAAAGATGGACTAGCCAAATTAGGTCCTAATGTATGTTGAATACTTCTAGATGTAAGTTTAAATGTATGTCACATTCTCAAGAAACAGAAATTGGGACAAAGCAATTTTTGCATACCGGTACTTAAAAAAAAAAAAACAAGACTTGGTAAGGGTACAAATGATTTAGTTGTATACTGTACATGTATATGTACATGATGTTGAATTGTATGGCACTGTGCTAAAGTGTGTTCATAAAAGCCTCTACCCCGATACTTTGTACATATTATCATATAAAGTTATCATACAAAACGTTACATAGTTTTTGAAGTCTGAATGGGAATCGATTTTGGATGTAACAAATTGTAAGTTGTGAGTTATATACCGGTATGTGCAACTCCTAGACACCATTCACAATGTGTGTCCCCAAAAATATGCATTATCAAGTTTTGCTTAACATGTATAAGTTTTACTGAATGATGCTGTGCCAAATTGTGTTCATACAAGCAAAACTTATCTACTTTGAACATACATGTGGTATCATATGCCTACAAGTATGGAGTTATCATACAAAACGTTACACAGTTTTTCTAAGTCTGAACAGGGATACACTATTTGGTTATGGAGTTATCATACAAAACATAACACAGTTTGCAAAGTCTGAATGGGGCTACGCTGATTGGACTTCTTTCCCCAGAGGAAATCTCATCAGTTTGTTTGCAAACACACCTATCCATCCTCGTTACCCCATCAGCGTCCATTTCCCACACCCGTCTTGATCTCCTGTTGCAAGCCAGCGCAGCCCGGCCCGGCCCGTCACCGCTTCCACCCCATCCCTGTCAATGTTTGCCCTCCCCTGCGATATCGTTTGTTGCTTGAAAAGGTCCGCTCGGCATGAACTGTAGTATCGTTTGTTGCTTTTAAAGGTCTGTTCAGCATGGACAGTAAACTTTTCATCCTCTTTCTCTCTCACTGTTTAAATAAACTTTTAAGGAGATTTGATTTTGTTCCTCATCTCTCTCTCCCAATGCATGTCTCATCTCTTAAAGTTGTTGCACTTTTCTCCAGTTACAGTATTTGGCCATCCAACTTCTTTTTGAGCTTTTTCTATTTATTTCTCCCTCCATCCCAATCAATATGCCCCCCCCCCTTTTCTTTTTGATAATACTGTATTTCTGAAAGGTTAGGGTCCATGGTTGACTGTTTTATCTTCTCCTCTGTTCCCTGTTTACATTTCTTCCCCTATATCACTCTCTGTCTTTCTCTTTCCCTCCCTCTTCCTCTCTCTCTCTCTCTCTCTCTCTCTCTCTTTCCTAGATGTACATGGTTTTTCCCACTCTCTCCATTTACCTCAAGTCCCCCCTCTCATCCCTCCTTTCCCTCCAGCTTCCCCAGTCTTCCACTCTCCTTGATCACTCCCTTTACCTTACCCCACCCCTCTCTCACCCCAACCTCCCCCACCCTAGTCCCTATCACTCTTCTCCCAGCCCTCACTCCTTCATCCGTTAATTCAATCTTCCACTTTCCTCTATCACTCTCGCTTCCTACTCTTCCTCCACCCCCTTCTCCCTCCACCCATCTCCTTCCCTTCACCACCCCCCCCCCCCATACAACACCCCACCTCACCCACACCCCCCCCCCCCCCCCACAACACACTCCAATCACTTTGCGCCCTTCCCTACAGTTATATTCCTAACATGATGTAAGTGGTCATAAAAAAATATGCAATCATATTTCAGAGTAATAGCTCCCAGTAGATCTATCAGAGATGGACCCTCCTAAGCCAATATTGCAAAGGAGTTTATACTCGGCCTCCAGACAGTTCTTTGGCTGTTTGCCCGGCCCTGGTCATTCACCCTTCTGACCACCGAGGGGGTAAATCCAATTCATTTAGAAATGTATCATTCTTTCTTTCTCTCTTTTTATCTTCTTCTTCTTCTAGTCCTTCTTCCTCTTCTCCTTCTTTCTATTCTCCTTCTTCTTTCTCTTCTCTTTCTTTCTTTTCTTCTTCTTCATTTTCTTCTCCTTCTTTTACTTCTTCTTTTTCTCCTCCTATTTCTTCTCCTTCTTTTTCTTGTCCTTCCTTTTCTTCTCCTTTTTCTTCTTCTTCTTCTTCTTCTTTTTGTCTTCTTCTTCCTCTTCTCCTCTTTCTCTTCTCTTTCTTTCTCTTCTCCTTCTTTTTCTTCTCCTTCCTCTTCTCCTTCCTCTTCTCCTTCCTCTAGCTGCCACTGTTGATGTTGTTGGTGTTGCTCTTCTTCTCCTGTTTTTTTCTTTTTCGGGAGGGGGCCGGGGGTGGGGGGGGGGTTATTATTTTGTTTTGATCTGTTTCCTTTTTTGGGAGTGGTCGCTCACAGGGTAATGTCTAAACAAAGGGATGTATTTTGTTTTTAATAAATATTCATTAATATCATGAACTGTTTTCTTATGTTATTCTATTGCCTTTGAGGGGATTTGGTTGTTCACCTGTACATCGCTTTCGTTATTAAAGAAATAATATTTACCATGTTGACTCCATCCGCATCGAAGGGGTTCCAGTCAACGTTAGCGGGGTAGTGATGCAGGCACTTACTCTTATAGCTCCTATGCAGGGGATGAATGTGGCAGCTTTCACCTGGAGGTAAGTAAAAGAGAGAAGGATATCGTTTTAAACGATGCAATCTGGGTGAAGGAGATATTTTTCTATGTAAATCATGGTTAATTTTACAACTTTCTAAGTAATCAAGCCATACTATAGAGTGGTGAAGTGTGACATCATCAAAAATCTATCTTTGGAATTCCTAATGTTATGAACCCGAGCACTATAACACCGAGTTCCTATAGGACATATATTTATTCAGATGGTCATATTTCAGCCAATACTTAACATATTCAATTGGTTTTCGACATTCAGATATTATTTTTGATGCTCTTTTGGAAAATGAAGAAAAAATTGAGAATTCAAAAAACAATTTGTTACGATGTCACAGCTTCGGTACTCTATTAGACCATTGTGACTCAGTACAGTTAAGAGATAGGTTGTCTAACTTGACATCAACATAGTAATGACCCAGGTGAGGTAAATGGGCAGCCGGTAGGATTATACACTGTACGTTGAAATGCATTGTGCGCTGATTACGGCTGCCGAGCTAAAGCTAGGGTAGTACTTTCCAAAGCTCTTTGGAAGCGCATAGAGACGTTATATAATGTGTTATGCGCTATACAAGAACCAAATATTATTATTATTATTATTATTGAGACGGAGCGACCTTCGGACATTCTTTCAATATATCCCCACAACATCAAGTGAAAGCAAACGTATGTATTCCATTAATGTTTACTTTCCATTTCTTTCCTGAAAATGAAAAATGCCAATGGTATAAATACAAAAACTGTTATAAGCTACTGAAATCGTCAGTCATAGATATTTAGCATTTGTTATTGATAACAATTTTCATGTAACAGGACCCTGATGACACACACATACAGCACACAAGGCCACCAACATGTTTCTGTACATACACGGATGAAGACTCATACAAAGTATCTACTACTGTATATAACCATGGACCACTTGCTGAACACTGAACACTGAACAGTCATCTGCGATATGAATTGCATAATCGGATATATATTTAGCATTTTTTATTGAGAACAAGTTTTATGAAACAGGACTGTGATGATATACCGCATACAAGGCCGGCAAAAAATTTCTGCACATACACGGAATACAGACTCATACAAAGTATCTACTACTGTTTATAACCATGGACCACTTGCTGATCAAAGCCTGAACACTGAACAGTCATCTGCGATATGAATCGCATAATCAAATTACGGAGGGCATCAGCAAGACCATGAGCGCTGTAACCTGATATGCTATGGTAATGATTCGTGTATCGATTAGGACCTAGGAAGGAGTGAGCTCCTCATAATGTCATCATGTACACATGACATGTACGACATGTCGCCGGTAGATAACCAACGGTGTAATGAGCAATGCGCATGCATGATTTTAAGATCACATTCGCTACATGAGTATTTCTTCCTTCCAATAGTTTACCTGTACTGTCAGTCGCCTATGAGATACTGTGTGCACAATAATTTATTAAACTGCGACGCAGGAGTTTCCAAATTAAGCAATTGATTTTAAGGTATACTGGGTACACTTCTTTTCAATCAAAATTAAAATTGATACATGTGTAAAAAATAAGTGATGGGGTTGCCCCAAAAAGCAAAACGCACAATATAGTGCATGTTCATGAAAAAAATGTACATGTAGAGTTGTAGTCCCATACAACAGAAATTTACTGAAATATTACTGTGACAAAATCACACTTTTACCACACCAAATCCTACAGGAGCTTCAGCGAACATGAAAGTATTTTGTTTACACTGAATTACATACTGGTAAGCATCTATGCCGTCTTCTTTGAAAGCACACGTATTAATGTAAATGCACTCTGCAGGGCAAAAAAAAATCTCCTTTTTTGGGAGGGGGGAGGGGGGTCCTGAAGCTCGCTTCAAAAGGGGGTTCGTGCATTCAAACTATGGCTGCTTCTCGAACGTGAGCGGTCCTTAGTCTGTGCAAATTGGAAATACAGCCCGGATCACGGCTGCCGTTATAATGCAGATCAGGAATCGTGATGAAATATTGTATTCTAACTTGCAAGCATGTCTGCCCATATCCCGGTGTTGTTTCAGTGGGGGTTTACGCAAGATATCATCTGGTAGAAGCCCGCTGCTGAAATTACACCTGTGAGGGGTAACTCTAGAGCTCCGGCTGCGGCCCAATAGTACAGGAGAGTGCAAGAAATACATATTTTCCTCAGCTTCATATATTGACTGACAGTGCATTTGAACACCTAAAGCTCTAGGCATTTTGCAGTAAATGAATGCACCCGGAGAATATCCCCTCATGAGCAGTGATGATGAACATAAATTTGCTGTTGATGAATTTGAGATTAAGTAATAAACAGGCGATGGGGCTACATGTACATGTACTTAAGTGATTTTGTCTCGTGACATCGCCTACATGTACTGGAAATATTTTTGCGTGTTGTTAATTCCCAATCAAAGCGTGATTCACAAAATCAGCAAAATTCGCAAATAAAACCCCCACAGATCTTAAGGAAGCTCTTTAGAAAAAATCCACTGTAAAAAGACAAGCAAAGGTTTTTTTTCAATTTCTAACGCCCTATCAATAAGGCCAACATGCAAAGAGTGTACACTGTATGGGTATTAAATATACCGGTATGCATGCCTGCATGGAGTCATACATGTGTAGATTCTGGTAATACAGGGACACAAATTACAAATACATTTTGTACAGGTACATGTACATGTAGAAACAGACAAAGGTGAATGAATTCCTACATTAACTGGCGATAAATTGAAAAAGAAATGGTTCTTAGAAAGGAAAGGAAAGGAAATTAATACACTACATGGCAAAATATCATTGTACCTTATGATGTGGAAGAAACTAGATGTAAAAAGAAATTAATCAAAACAGTCTTTTTTTTTGCAACGCTATTACACAGGTAAGCAAATGCAAACACACTTTTCATCTCTGAATTGCGTGCAGTACGTGCATAACATAGAATCAATGCCCTCGGTATTACGAGGAACATGTTCATCGCCCGGCTCTGAGACATATAGCCTGAATCAAAAATCAATACCAAATCTACATTAACTCTACACCCAGAATATTGGAACACAATCTACCTCATTTCGCTTTGTCTAATAAAACAGACGTTGTTTTGATTAATTTCTTCTCATACAAGCATTTTGTTTGCATCGTTAGGCACAATGATATTTTACCATGCAATGAGTTTATTCCTTTCCTTTCTAAGGAAAAGTTCTTCGTGAATTCATACCCAATTAATTTAAGGTTACATTCAGTTTCATGTGTTTCTACATTATCAGAATAAAACAAAGATTATGATTAACTGTAATCATTCAATGCATATTACCCATCCTCCTTTAATGCTCTCTCTATTCCCCCCCCCCTTTTTTTTTCTCTCTGTCTCTCTATATATATTTCCCTCTTTCTTCTTTTTCCCTTTTCTCTTCATTTTTTTTTTTCTCTCTCTTTTTCTCTGTATCTATTATTGTTTCCAAACCTCTTCTGCTCCACTTTCTCTTTCTTTGTGTCTCTCTTTCCCTACCACTATACTCACCCTTTCTCTCTATCTCTCTCTCTCTCTCTCTTTCTCTCTATCTCTCTCTCTCTCTTTCTCTCTCTTTTTCTCTCTTTTTCTCTCTCTGTGTCTCTCTGTCTCCCTCTCTCTTTCTCTCTCTCCACACACATCTAAATATTATCCTTTATTTTCTACTGTATTCACCATGATTAAAAGTACAAAAAGAAGAAGAAAAAGAAAAAGGAAGACAAAAAACACAAATATTTCTCTCTTGATCAAATGCAAATTTCTCCTACATGTAAGTCCTAAGTTTGCTCAGGAAAATTTCCCTCTGGAATCTACGCAGTATCTATAACCCCTTCAACGATACTCTCCAACCCGACAAACTGACCTAAATTTCCCAGTAGTCAAATATTCCTCATGCTATTTGTCAGGTGCGGGATGAGATCGTCAAAAAGCGAGGATGGAAAAAAGGAAGAAATGTATAATCTTGTTACATATGCTTTGTGGTGCTCTCTAACCAAACTTTGCCATCTCAAGCCAAAGAGAAAGAACATTTCAAATATGCAACACCTTTTAAATCAATATATTTTAGCACCTCCATGTAACATGTATGTACAGTACATGTAGTGAATGTACATGTAAGTTGCAGTACACATTACACAACCTAAACAGCAAGAAATTAATATCATGCATGTACAGATCTCGTGTAGTACATGTACATTTCATTGAAATATAATTTCTTGACAAATATTATCTTTCTCAAATACTGTATTTCTCTAGAAGGTGAATAACAAGTTTTCTATATGTCTCTAGATCTATAGACTCTCTCCATTAAGGGATGCCAGTTAGAATTGATCAGAGGGCATGAAAATCACCTAGAATGAGCTAGTTTGTACACAAAAAAACCTAAACTATGGTATGAAAATAACTCACCAGGGATTGAATTCAGGCTATTGCCTGAAAACTGGCACCCCTGTCTTGTTATAGAAGTTAACAGAATAAACGTGTACATGAATAATGCCACAATTGGTATTGAGTCTGAATCCTAAGACTAGCCTTACAAGGCAGCTTCATAATCAAGATGTACAGGGAGTGGAGGCAGTGACCGGTCAAGGCCGTCGGAGTGCGCCCTCGCTTGTGCATCTTCTTCTTCTTCTCGTTTCATCTTCTTCTCCTTCTTTTTTCATTTTCTCCTGGAGGCCAGCCAATCTACCTGCTCTCTTTCTGTTTAATTAGAGATGACATGGTAAAGTGGATTCTCTTTACAAGCGATGGATGGATACTGGCTGGCCCGTGATGCTTCAATCTTGGGATGGCTCGATCCTCCTCCCATGAAAGGGTTGTCCTATTTATTTTCATGAAACCCCCCAAGAAAGGGGGCTTTGTTTCCAATTGTGTTTTTAAGTGATGAATTTTATTTTAATCAAAAAAAATGTATGCTTTGTTTTTTTCTTCAAGATTATTTCAGATTAATACAATGGTTGACAGAGTT